TCTGCTCTTCTGTAAATCCTTGAGCTTGCTGAAGTTGTTTTTCATATGTATTTTCATCTTGGTCTAAACTTTGGAAGTCCTTTAGTAGATTGTTGCAGGCACTTTTAACTGCTTGTTTTAATTCTACCCTCAAAAAGTTTGAAAATTGTTCCCATGTCAAATCTCCAATTGGTGTATCTGGATCAAGTTCCTCCTCCTCTATTTCTTCCTCCATTTCTTCACACTCTCTCTTCCTTCCACACGCCCAATTTTCACAAAGCTTTTTAAAAATTCCACAGCAACTTAAACAATGGAAACTTTCTTACCCCCTCCTTCTTAAATAATATCTGCTCCCATCCACTTCCCGGCCATTTTCTTCATCGTTGGAGCTAACTGCTTGGGGGTATTTAGTCCAGTATCCAAAGACAGAAGATAAATTTTTCCAAAATCCCTCATGCACAGATCTTTTTCTTTTCTTTTACAATGTACTTTCTATTTCTTTTGTAATCCCAGAAGTTAAAAAAAAAACGGATGGTCAGCGTCTAGGAAGAACATGGCAGTCATGTTCTTTCCCTGTCGATCGTCCCTGCTTCGGGGCAGTTCTGGTCACCCCCCCATTGCCAGTTGCAGGAGGGGCCAAAAAAGACACCCTCTTCTCCAGCCCTCTCTCTGGGAGGGCTGGTCGAACTCTCCCAACTCTCCCAAGAACCTCCCAAGGCTTGAAACAAAACGAAAGTGGTTCGGGCGGCTCGGAGCAAACCGAGCGTCCACCCGTCGACGCACCGTACCGGAAACCTCCTGAGTTGCAAGGTTCTGATTTAAAGTTGTCAGCTGTTGTTTGATGTTGGTCATCTGGTCCAGCAGAGGGAGCAAGGAATCTGCCAACATTTTGGAGAACTCAGTGACCTCTTCCGTTCGAGGGCTCATGCTCCCCATTGGTTTCACTTTTGCTAGTTTGTCTTTCTCTGCCTTCTTCCCCGCCATTTTTATGGATTGTTTACTTTTGTAAAAACTTTGCTAAAGTCTCTGAAAATCACCCATATGCCTATCCACGCTCTGGTAAGTCTCAAAAGAGATTTCAATGCTTTTTCTTTCGCTCCCCCCTTGGTATATCGTTATTTAGTTCATGCGTATGGGAGGGGCCCCTCCCCTGCTCGCTTTTCTCTCCGTTCCCGGGGTGGAGCTTTCTTTTTATATTCCCGTATTTGCTTTAACCCGACTCACTGTTCATTGTTGGTCATACGACCTCACTCAGAACACGTTTAAAATGCTTGATCTTCAATGCTTGTCCCGGTCAGCGGCTCTAGATCCATAGGGACACTCAGCAGCAGGACCGTCGGGGTGGAGGAGCGCCTCAATTCCCCAGCATCGTGCTGGTGAAGAGGTCGCCCCTCAAAAGCCCCATGGCTAGGAGCCTTTTGCCAAGGCTCTGGGGGGGTGGCAACCTGTCGCCCCCCCTCCTATCCGCTGCTGCGCAGATCACATCCCTGGGAGGTCCAGGAGATGTGTCCGCCAGCGTGTCACCATAAACCGGAAGCCCCGAGTATTCTGGGATTGATTCATTTTAGGGGGAAGGGATGTTATGTATTGTGTATACATGATGCCTGAGCTTGAGTTTCAACCCTATTTAGCCTGGTATCGTAAACTGCACAATCTGATTAGCTACTCTGCGAAGTAGACCAGGGTACATGAAAGGTGCTGGAGGGAGATGCATCCATTGGTTGTTATATTACTATTCTGATTGGTTATTAACTCACCGGTGGACGTTGCTATCCAAGCCCGGGTAGTTTGAAAGAGAGCCTGTTGCTCTCCTGTTTGTGTTCGTTCTTGTCTTGTTCAAATAAAGCTGAATCACTTGTTAATGAGCTGCCTGAAGTCTCATACTTAACAGTTTCTGTACATAGATGAATTGGGTACGATATCTCTTCTGCCTTCTGCATTGATTTCCATTGCGAATCCCACAGTTACATCCCGCACTGTGCCTGACTGTCCCCTGTCCCCCAAGAAGACGTGGCTGTAGTGAAAATGTTGAAAACTCCACTTTGTGAATGGAACTCTGCTTGCTGTCCTTTAGGTCCCACCCCTTCCTGCTAACTTGCACCTTAGAAATGCTCAACCAAATTCATTTGGGATGGCATGCCTCAGAACCACTGAAGGGTTTGGGATAGTAAATACTTCAGTAGATACATGATAATTTTTAGAGAGTGTTTCAAAAGTAACCAAGTTGAAATATATTTGGAAAGAACATTTTGCACTTGAAATCTAGCCTTGGATTCCTCCCTCACACTGTAACAAATTTCGCCGTAAAATTAATTTTTACACAAGATTTTTATCTGTATTTTCCTTTTATGTGAAGCCTTTAGCCTAACACTTTGATTCTCCTCCCTAAATATAACAAAGCTTTTTCAGTACTACTGCATCTGAGTGTATGGCTCCCCCATTCACTTTTCTCAGTTTTCTGTTGTTTTTCTGTCCCATTTGTTGGCCTATTCCTTCTCCTGTGTCATTTCTGTTTCCATCACCACCACAATAGCTTCTAGACCATAGTGTCTATGAAACTAAATTTCCCTCCTCTCCTTTTATATGATCTTATATTCTAATAGTGAAATACAGATAGTATTGGATTCTTAAATCCGGTGACTGGAGCTCTGAATGGACAAGATAGATCTTTCTACCAACCTGAAAAGGGCCCTAGGTTTGTGGGAAAAGGGGAAACTTAAAAAAAAAATACACTGGGCAGCTTTTAAAAAATCAAAAAATTGATAAAAGGAGCACCTATAACTTTAATCAACAGATTCCTTCAGTGGCTGTTGCTATGCAACCACAGTATTCCAAGCTTGGCTATCTCAGTAAAAGGCAGGGGGGAGGGCCAAGGCCCTTTCCACCCCTGTTTTGGCCTTTTCAGGAGAACTCATTGGGCCAGGCCTAGGTAGAGTTGCCAGCTCCAGGTGGGGAAATTCCTGGAGATTTTGTGATTAAGTCTAAGGACTGCAGGGTTTGGGGAGGAGAGAAGCCTCAGCTGGATATAATGCAACAGAGTCTACCCTCCAAAACAGCCCTTTTCACCATGTCTGGAATTCAGTTGTAATTCTGGGGGATATCAACGTCCCACCTGGAGGCTGGCAGCCCTAGGCCTGGCTGCTTACTACTGTTTAACAGCAGCTGCCCCTATGAAAGACACTATGGTGCAGCAGTTAGAACTTCAGAGTAGGGTCTGTAAGACCCAGGTTCAGATCCCCATCATGCTCTGGAAGCTCATTGGGTGATTTTGGACCAGTCACATACTTTCAGCCTAAACTCTCACAGGGTTTTTGTGCAGATAAAAAGGACAGAATAATGTAAGCTGCTTTGGTCCCTACTGTGGAAAAAGACTGTAGTTTTCCTAGATAAAGGCTGTGGGGGTGGAGGGAGGGGGCAGAAAGCTGAAGACAGAAGAACAGATAAAGGTATTTGGCTGTTGGATGGGAAGGAGGCAGGGTTGCCAACTCCAGGCTGGGAAATTCCTGGAGATTTGAGGGGTGGAGACAGGATGGTGGGGTTTAAGGAGGGGAGGAACCTCAGAAGGGTATGATGCCATTGACTCCACCTTCTAAGCAGTCATTTCCTCCAGGTTCTCCAGATTTCAGACATCAGTTCCCCTGGAGAAAACAGGAGGGTGCAGTCCAATGCTCCCTCTAAACTGTGGAGTCTTGTGAACAAAAATTCTACTTTGTGAGCTATTGGCATTAAAGTTGTGAGTGAGCGATTTGGCTACTGCATAAATTAATTTGCTCTGGAGCCATCCTTCCTGAGCTAGGACAAAAATGTGTGAGCTGGAGGCTAAAAAACTGTGAGCTAGCTCACTCTAATTCAGCTTAGAGGGAACACTGGTGCCGTCTATGGCAGTATAACCTGCTGAGGTTTCTTCCCTCCCTAAATTTAACCATCCCAAGGCTCCACCTCCAAATCTCCAGGAATTTCCCAACCTAGAGCTGATAACCCTAATGGGAATTGATCCCTGTAGCTGGGAGATTCATTTTGGTTCCTGGAGAATCACTATCACCACTGCTGCTGTGTGGGAAGAGGGAGCAGGCTGGAGGCTGGGAGAGTGTGTGGGGCAGAAAGAGAAACTGATGAGGTAAAGAGGCCAAAAAAGAAAGCAAGAGTAATGGGGTGGGGGCAGAAAGAGAGGAGAAGTGACAGGCATGGAGGAGGGAGAGACTAATAAAAGGGGTAGCAGGAGGGAGAAAGAGTATAAGAAAAGTAGGGGGAGACAGGAAGAAGCAAAGGTAGGGGGGAAAGGATAGCTGCTCCTGCAAGTTTCTTGCAGGTCCCCACTTGTGCTATATACTGTACTATTGGGAGTAGGTACAAATAATCATTATTTGTCACTCTGTGACCCATGGATAGCATAACCATATATTGCATTGAGTTGCTTGTTCAGTATTTCTAGTACAATACAAAGGAGGTCTCATTTGCAGCAGTTGGCTTTGGATAATAAAGGGCTAGTTCCTGTTATCTTTATATTGATTGTTGTGTTTATTGTGGAATTAATTAGTACTAAGATACATGCATGCACTAAACATGTGTACATGCATGCACATACCTTTGCCATTTGCAGATGAACTCTTCTATATGCATATTAATCAATTAGGTAGTCTCATAGCAAGAGGGTTGGAGGGTAGCTACTCTGTCTTCAGCTGAATGGGGGAAAAGCTAAATACATTCCTACAAACAAGAGAGATCATTTTCTGAAGCAAGTTAATAACTTGAAAACATAGGTCTTGTTCAGCTCATTCTGCTACCGAATTGTATGAATATGTTTGAAAATCCATGAATGCCTGTAACTTTATTAACTTGTCTCTGTGAGAATTCAAGAACCTTTGAATAGCAGAGAACTTATCAGTTATGTTTAACCAATTCTCAGAAACATCTCATATAATAAATTAGCAGTTTCCCAGCATTTAAAGTTTAGCATCCAAAATGTCTATACTGCTTTCTTATCAGAATCTCCATTTTAAAATCCACTTTCTGTTTTCCAGATGCTACAATTGTGGTGGCCTTGATCATCATGCTAAGGAATGTACTCTACCTCCACAGCCAAAGAAGTGCCATTACTGTCAGAGTATCATGCACATGGTTGCGAACTGTCCACACAAAACTGTTCCACAACAGCCTACTAGTTATCAGGGAAGATACGAAGCAGAACCCCAGCCTTCTACATCAACATTTCAGAGAGAAGGGGGAGGGGGTTATGGTTATACACCTCTATCATATCCTCAGGAGGGAAGGGCAGACATCTTAGAACATTCAGGCAGGTCACCACAAGAAGCTGCTTCCAGTAAGTTATCTGCATCTCCTGAAGAACAGAGCCGAAAAGGGCCCTCTGTTCAAAAACGGAAAAAAACTTAGAGAGCTTTGTCATCGTACCCTTTTGGGATACCTACCTCATTCAAGCACAAGGAGAATAATTTCACAGCCTGGAATTTTAAATACTGCTGAGGAACTATGGTCTTTTTCAAAAGCAAAGCAGACCAGTCACTCCAAGCAAAATTTAATTTGAGTTGAAAGTCTTGTGTGTGGGGGTTTTGTTTTGTTTTTGCATTGTATGACTGTGCACATGTCTTGAATGTATACATTCAAATCTGTTTCCTTGGATACATCATCCATTGCAAAGCAATAGTTTGAGTGATTTTTGGATACTTATCCATGGAGTTTTTCCTTTTGATAGTTTATCATTCTGTTGTTCAAGGGAAAAGTTTGGAAACAGCTACTGCTGTTTTCATGGGGATCAAAAGATATTTCTCTTTTTTTAAAAGTTGCCATGAACTAACTAAGGCTATTAAGACATCCCTGTAAAGTTCTATTAATCCCTGTAAAGGCTATTAAGACATCCCTGTAAAGTTCAGGGTTGATTGCTTCTCCCTCTGCTGCCCAGCACAGCAATGTTTTTTACTTCCTCTCATGTAAAAAGGGTAATGCCTTGGTTTAAATATGTATCAGAATTGCTACAATGTTTAAGGAGTTAAAGATGACCTCCCTTCTTTCCCCCCTCCCCTAATGACAATGAATGTGTAGTTTCTGTGCTGGTATCTCAAGTTTTATGTTAAATTAATATGGTTTAAATGCAGGTTAGGTGACTGTTGTGAGGGAGAATGTATATATGAAAATGATTGTTGAGAGTGGTATTGAGATACCGCCCAGTTTGATTCTTTGTATTTTGTGCAAACCTTGAGGTGTTATGGAAGTGGCAGCAGCAGCATCTTCTCAAAAGTGAACATGGAATAAGAATCAAAAAGGAAAACGTGAAGTTGCCTTATACCAAGTTTGTTATTGGCCATCTAAACCAGTATTGTTTACCTCTGCTTGGCAGTAAGCTCTCCAGGGTTTCAGGAAGAGAAAAGTCTCTCCCAGCTCTTGTTACCTGATATCCTTTCTTACTGGAGATAACAAGGAATTAGTCACTGTTTTGAGGCAAATTGGTAGGAGTAGACCTTGACCTTTTACATTTTTCTCATGGGCCTTTTTTAAAAGTATTTCGTCATTGCTCCATTTAATATAAAAACAATAAATTGTCAGTGTATTTCTTAAACACAAGTGTTAAATATAGTAAGATTAGGAAGCTGTTGAATGGGCCTAAAAACCACCTGGTAGTGCTTTTCCTACTAAACTGCTTGCCATAAATGCAGATATTCTTCCAGTTGACCCAAAGCTTTTTGTTGACAACCCATGTCTTTCAGTGTTCCACAAGGTATTCTTCCCATCAGATTACATCTCTTACTTTAACTGACATAATCTACTGGGAAGCTTTTCAGGCTGGTCTTTAGAGAAATGAAAGCTACTCAAAACTCATGCAACTCCCAATAATTTTAGCCATGTTTGTGCAAGAGATTCCCTATGGAATGCAATGTGATTTTTTTCTCACTGGAGCCCTCTGCTGTTGATCAAAGAAGTATGCAGAGTATTTGAACATTTTTATGAGAAGCCTTATAACAAGGATTTCCCCCATAAAGATTTGCTTGAAAGACAATTAAATTTGAGTTCCAAAACCTTGCTTTTTAAACCAGTTCCGGGTAGAATCTTTAAAGTACACTCTTGCTTGTTGTGCCAACTGTGATAGCAATGCGCCTTGTTTTGGTGGCCTGCCAATCAAGTCTTATCAAAACTCACACCTCCTGTGACTTCTATTGACTACACAGGACTTACAAAGAGAAGACATTTCCCTTTTCAGAGGGGCCAAACCCTGGAAGTCTGTGCTGCTGCTGCCGCCACTGCCACCACCTTATGTCAGGAAATGTGTAATGGCCTCAGGAACAGGCACAAATCCTTTGTGACTTTGCTTGAATCCCATGACAGTGTTTGAAGAAAACTCTCAGTGGCTTATACTGAAGTTCTCGGTGTGCTACAATGCAAAGCAAAGCTTCTTCTTTTTGACGATACTGAATGTGATATATGTATAGAGGAGTACTCCCTTGCCATGTGTAAGGCTTGTAAACTTATTTAAGTTATGTAGACAAATCAAAGTGGCATTGCTTAACCTTCTAGCAGGTGTGATAACCAGGTTAAACAGCAATGATGCAAAACTTAGGTCACTTTGAAAATGTAAACCAAAGTTCCTTGACCTTTATAATAAGATAGAAATGGTGAATTTGAAAAAACAAAAAAGACCCTTGGCCATTCCCTCATTTATATACTCTAAAATTCCAGACAGCAATCACTCTGAAATAAAGTAATTTATTTCAGCCACAGAGTAAATTGCTGAGAGAGCCTACCAATGCTATCTTATTAAAGTTTACGTTTTTATTTTTATATATCGGAGGATGGTCACTATTACAAAATAACCTTCTCAGGTCAAAACCTTTCTCAGGGAATATGCCATGTAATTCTTTCTTTTATGTTGTTTTTCTTTAACAGAATACTTGCTTGCTCAGACCAAACCAAATGTAGACTTTTTATACTGCTATGTAAATGTTATATGCTGATAATAGTAACTACCTCTGAGTTTACATATAAAGGACAAATAACAACTTTTTGCATTATGCTTTCCCATTAGAACAAGAGTACAGTGGTGTTTCTGTACTTCAGTGAACATGTGTGACTTCACTCACAAGGAGACCTGACTTGCAGAGTTCTGGGCAGGGTAGCTCCTCTCTGCTTTGGAAACTCTAAGCCACATTGTTTACATAGGCGGGAAGAAAGTTGTTCTGTTTACAGCAAATGACTACCTCATACCTACCACATAAGCAACACCTTTTGTGCTGCTCAGGCCTTAAAGGTGGCTGTTGATACAATGGTACATACATTGGGGAGGGGAGACCCTTTTCTTCAGTAAACAGTACACATCTAACTTACATGCGGGCATGAGCTTAATTTTTAAGTGATGCATCCATTTGAAATGGTGTGTATCTGATCTCTTATTTAAGATTTAGCTTTATTTTTTTCTGCCTGAAGGAGAAATGGGTGCTGTTCATATGCACAGACACATAGAAAGGCAGCCAATATGTGGATAATTTATCTAATTACATTGCAATAAAAGTACAGATGTATGTTTTTATTTTTGTTCCCAGTTAGTTGGATCCAGTGATCTACCCTGGAAAAGCCTGGATACTCTAAATGTTAGGAGTATTCTAGAATTATCCTCCCCCCACTGCAGCTAATGAAGTATATTTACTCCTTCATAAGCAACTAGAGTTCAGTTGTCTGTGCCACACCAAAAACCGTAATTCATGTGGCTACTGTACAGCTGTGTCTAAAGTATTCACTCCTTGATTTCATGGCTTTGAAAATGCACAAGCCCAAGCAACCGTTGCCTGCTCAGTTATAGGTCTGTCTGTTTGAGACCAGTACTACAGTGAGTGGTAATGAGTGTTGTTGTCTTCAAATCTTGATAAATAATGCAGTTATGCAACTGACAGGTTTGATTTTTTTAAATCACAAAGTTGACTTTCAGTACCTTCATCATCACATTAAGGAATGTCCCCTGCTTCCGTTCTCATTCTCATCAGTATCCCGAGTTTCTATTTAAACACCATTCAGTAGAATAGCTTAAACTTGAACTGTACCCCAGGCCAATACTTCAAACAACAAGCCACAAAAGAGTTCACAAAAACAGGGCTCCCACCAGCACATCTCTCCCCCACCACAGAATTGAGCCCATCTTCTCTTCCTCCAAAATGAAATCAGAATTCTCTCTCGTTGGTTTCTGTGAGTCTCCTGACTCTGTGTTGGAGTTGTGCCACTGAGCTGACACAGAATATTATGTGCACACCTGCATAGCATCTCTTAGATCATTCTGGAAGGGAACGTCAGTGGGACAATTACTTAAGTGCTGTTTGGGCACTAAAATTAGCTCTAAAATGTGATACTTCTGCCAAATGAAGGCTGTTTGATTTTTAAAAGCTGTTTTAATTTGTGCTAGTACCATCCCAAAGTTACTGCTAGTACATAGTTTCATGGATGGAGACCCACACAAGTAAGTGTTTATAGACCTCGTGACCTTCTTCGTAACAGAAATTATTAAAAAGTGGGAAGATCTCATTAAGTCTTAAAGCTAATTTAAATTAATTTATCTCTAAGAAATGTTTATCATAAAAATATATGTGTGTGTGTTTTTTTCTCCTCCCCTTGCCATTATGATGAGTATGAGAGTCATTGGGAAAAGGATGTTAAGTGTGTGCAGATGCACTGAGTTTAACTTTACTAGAATGTCTTTTTAAAAATTTGATTATGTGTCTTTGCTTCCTTTTAAAAGACCTGTTAAATGTGTATTGTTCTGTTTTATATCAACAGTCTCATTAAAATATGCTGATTGCGTTACTTCTGTCTTAATGACTGTTTAGTAACAAAATGATGACATAGGGTTTTATTTACACAGGACTCATATAGTTCAATGGCTCTGCAAGGCAGTTTATGTTGGGGTTAGCAAGTGGTAGCCAAACCCAGGCCAACCTGAGCCCTTCATGGGAGCACTATGTGGACCTTGCATTTGCTAGTCCACAGGCAAAAGAGGATCATAGGAGAGCAAATTCCATCTGGGAGAGTGGCCCTGACAAACGTGTGCCTCCAATAAAAAGACTGGCTAACCAGATTGTTGAGTCAAAAACTGTTCTACAGGCTTACAAGCACATAGCCTGTGTGGGGGCCGTGTTGCCCACACAACAGACTGAGATCTGAGCTGCACATAATAATGTATTTGCTATAAATGTTGCAAAATTTTAAAATGGCAGATTAACCAAGGAAAGACATGATGATGGATGGTTTTGACTACCTCTTGCATTTACTACTTTTAAAGCAACAAACTGGTTGACAAGTATTACCAGACCTAACTTTAATCTCTGTATGTTGTTATTGTAAATCCGATAGCCAGAGACCAAAGTGAGCACTGATCACTATGCTTCTTGAATATTGTCTTT